GGAGGTTGTTTCTTTCAGGTTCTTCCCATTTATACTGATCGTTATCTGTTGTTGTTGTTGCGGTTGGTGGTGTTGCCCAGGAATTTTCATCACCTCTGTTTTATCTATGTTCACCTGAAGTCCTATCTTTGATGCTTCTTCTGCTAACTTGTTGCTTTTCGTTTGCATGTCTTCCAGTTTGTGGCAAATCAGACATATATCATCGGCGATGTCCAGATCCTCCAAGTTTTTTTTGTGTGTCCATTTTATACCTGTTTCCCCACTGTTTGTCGCATTATCCAGTCTACTGCAATCAAGAATTTAGTATCCAGAGCACAAATTATCTTCAGCATTTACAGTCATTAGCAGTCTATATTTGTAGCACACCTTTATTCATATTCTCAATTTACACTAGGAAGGTAGGCAGGTATGAGAACGTCAGTCTGTGATGTTTTGGGTTACATTCTACATTGAATTTTTGTAATTTACCTTACTCTTTAGTGTTTTCCTATATCATTTGAATGAGAGGCAGCTAACGATATCAACCAAAGCACAATTTTCAAAAACTGTTTCAAAAACCTAAAGCTCAGTAACAGATAAAACTATTAGAAAATTAACAACTCGATCCTAAAATGCTTACTGCTTAGTGTATCATTGGAGGAAAAGTGTCTGTTGGCAGGATTTATTCGGCTGCTTATATACAAGATGCGTTTGCTAAATTAATGAATTATACTACAGTTAACACACCAGTAGCAAGTAAATTGAAACGGTACTCTTTTGTGAATGATTTTCTTCTATTATTGGAAAATACAATCTTCTTATTTGTATTCAAGTGATGGTTTGCAGGGATTGGATTGGTTTCAGGATTTCATCATGACGACATCGGTTAGAGAACCATCGAAAAAACCTGCAGGGAGTATTGGACAGCTGTTTTGTCCTAGTTTGAGACTCCTCATCAGTACGCACCCACCGCCAAGGTTCGAACCCAATACATTCTGGTTACAAGTTCAGCGAGCTCGTAGACCATTAAGCTACTAAGACCCGATCCAATGGCCTCTCCATGAATTCCATCTTCTGCCAATTCACAATATGGTGCTAATTTAATCTAATAAATAAATTCTTTATGCAATACTGTTGTTTGTAACAATGTTACAGAACTGTTGACCACTAAAAAGACCAGCTTATACAAAAACCCAATTGAAACTCATGTTGCCAGTGTGATTCGAGTTTTTATCACAAACAAATGTTACACGTATTCGAAAATAAAGCTCCAAGTAAAAGCAAAGGATATAAACAGAAGATACCAGAAGTTTTAATATATTTCTTCAAGTAAATATTAGTGCCTAAAGTTAAATTTGTCGGGTAGATGTTTTAAAGTTTAAAATGCTTAGATTCCCTACACTTTGCTTAGTTCATTAAATGCTAGATATTTATACGATTCGAAACCACATCTAAATGATAGTAAGTTAGCTTACCCGTATAATTAACACGTTTAATATCACTCTTAAATCTCATGATAATGCAGCTACTTCCTCCAGGTCTCTAATCAACAGACCACTACATATTATATTGTGTTTACTCCGTCAGTAGAGCTTAAATTATAATTTTCAGTGACATTTGCCTAAAATAATACTAATAGCACAAGTGAAATGGTTATTCTGATGATCAAATAAATCTATAAGCAATTACATTAGACTTAGGAGAAACTTCAGTTAAACGTGAAAGAATAACTAATAGCCGTGATACATTCTTTGCCTCAGTTTCTGTTCATATGAAAAAAAGTTGCCATTTGAATGACCTTAAGAGCACTTAAATGTCTAATGGATAAGTGGATAGTGAGATAAAGTCAAGAAGTACGGAAAGGTAGACAGTTCGTTTAAAAAATAATAACAATAGAGTGTGAAATTCATGGAAATTGGTAGATATCATAAATATAATAGTTAAATGTGAACGAAGGATTGTGAAAAGTCAACTTACGACTCAGAAAAATAATTCTGCAATCATCGCTTAGGACTTACAATCAATAACTTTTGAAATCGCATGAATTCTACTACACTACTTTGAACCATCATACAATACATGTATCAGTACTTAGTTTAATAGGGACTGAAAGTTTCGGCCTTCTTTGAACAGACCAGTTATATCTGAAATTGATATCCAGTCATTTTTGACAAGGATAAGGGTCATAACTAATTATAAGATAAGAATAGGGGCTGTGAGGATGGTTAAGATTACAGCTGATTCTTTGTTTATCAACAAAAATACAACATAAGCAAACTTATGATTGTTTAAAGCCTGATACAAACACCTGTCCCTACCATGACTGAACTGATAAACATCCCAGAAACAAAATCACTGACCGGCTGAAAAAAGTGGAAAGTTTCTAAATCATATATTTCATTAATTACCTATATATGCCTATAAAATCTTTGCAGAAATCACTCGTTTATTTAATTAATTCCTCAAAATTACTTCATATTTTCTCTAGAATTACAGAAGTGTACATATCCACTATAGCAATATAGAAAGGTATACAGTTAAAAAACAAATGAACCTATGGTTTGTATATAAGACAAACCACATTCATTCCTACTTTTAACACCAAACTGTTAAATTTCGGTCATCTTGCTGAACATGTGTTTCCTGACTTGATGCTTCAATATCATTGTCTACGGAAGAGTTTATATAAAGCAGTTTCTCTATATTTCAACTTGACCAACTTTCCAAAGTTAAGATACAGTATTCATTTCGAACATTTCACTTGAACAGCTCAACATTACTCAGTTTTATCCCTTTTTATTACTTTATACTGTATGTTCAGTCATCTGATAAATTCTGTGGAAATATGAATTTTCAAAAGAATGGTTACTGAACAAAGAATATTCTTCTCAATAACTTCATCATCAGGTTCAACAGTTATATACACATAATAGTGAATAAATTAGTGTTATTAACAACATTAATGTTGTTTAAATAACATCGACTACATAATAAATAAAGGTGTGTAGTTAAAAACATCAATAGCTCGATATTAGACCACCTGGTCCAAACCAGCCACAAAGCCAGCAATGAGGAATCCTTCTCTATCATCTATCGAGTACCAAACAATTTGCCAAATGTATCCAGGTATCGCATACTCCAAACAGCAGATGCTATCGCGATTCGCCTTAAACAACCAGTGCTTTGTGTGCAAAAGAAGCAAGTCCAGCCAGAACTACTACTGCTCTGACCGGCATTCAGTGGAGACTATAAATTCATGAATTTGTATTATATTATTTTTCTTAACTTTTCTGATATTCAGTGCATTGTTATGTTGATGTAATTGAACTGTAATCCATTGATATCATTATTATCATTATTGATTCGATGTTATTTAAACAACATTAATGTTGTTAATAACACTAATTCATTGACTATTATGTGTATATAACTGTAGAAGCTGATGAAGAAGGGGTTATCGCAGAGAATATTCTTTGTTCAGTAACCATTCTTTTGAAAAAAGTTTAATAGGCATTTTTAATCAGTTGAAATATGAATTCAAAGTAGTATTAGCAATTTCTAAAATTTTAGTAACAATAAAACTTATATTAATTTGACAGCTACGTCAGATTACAGTTCAACGATGAAAGGGTATGAATTCAGTTATAAGAAGTCTCATGATTTCCCATTACTGCACACTATCATGTATAAATTCCTTTATCATTTTTGAAAATACCTCATCTTCTCATTTAAATTACTGTTCAAATATCAAGATTTTACCACCTACTCTATTCGTACATACTGTCTACATTTACGCCTCTACACATAAAATATGAATCTGATAAATTCTAAACTTGACTATATTATGATGCCAGAATAGCTCACCTATAGCCTTTCTGAAATTGTTTGAGAGGAAGTGAGTTTGGGTATATTTTTACCTACTTTACTCAAGCAATGTTAAGGCTCCATATATCTGAGATTGAATAAACTGCTTAAAAGATTGAAATTTATATCAAAACTAACTACACATGCCTTACCGTTACCATCAGAATAGGTATATTCTTCGAAATACTAAAACAAAGTATTTTCAGAATAGGTGCCTTATTTAGAAATGTTTGAGATATAAATATTCAAAGGGCAAGGATATAAGTTATTGCAAATCAAACTTGCAGCGCTTTAGTTTCAGAATACTTGTATAGGCTGAACGGAGGCAGACAATTAAGATTTGAATGTCCTAAGGTAACTGCTGATTTTTCACTAAGTGCCTGGGGAAATTCTCTGATCAAATAAAATGTTACGTTTGACTATTTCAAAGATGTTATTTCAAACTTTTTACACAGCTGGAATATCTGTTGTAGCCTTTGCCATACTGTGCGGAAAAATACCTTGCGATAACTTTTCTCCTCACTCTGCTTAGGCATTACATAAAGTCATCCTGCCAACCATTAATTTTCCGAGAAAGATTATCGTAAAGTTGAGAAAAGAACGAAAATATTGCCGAAATAACACAATGGGTTCCTTTCAGTACAATGCATTCTTCCAGTAAGCACTAAACTCAGTTATTAATAATTCAAATAAATACACGTGGTTTCATTCTCTTAATTTTAGTTCAGCAACAGCTCCATGTAACAAAACCATATAAATAATGTAGTGAATGCAACCAAGAAATTTTGATCCTGTATAAAATTTCGATATACAGATCGCATCAGGAGGTAAAGGTCAATTTTGTATTTAGTTCCGTTTATCAATATGATTTCTTTTTATTTCGTAGCCTCATGTTCTTTACAAAAGATCATATCAGCTTGTGGAAGACAATATTCGAAATCCAACGGGATTAAACTTATCGACAGATGGTGAAAATATTGTTGGCTGAACTATGTGTTTGAAAGTGTCACAGTCATGAACTAATCGAGGCCCTAATGCATCAAATTATGGTTTTAGATACAGTATAACACTTTTCAGATAATGAAACAAAATTCATTATTCAGAAATCATTACGAACCAATAATTATCGACTACAAATGTAGAAAAAAAATACTCACCTGAATACCCTCCCCATGCTGCAGTCCTTAGGGCTGACCAACCATCCTGATCAATAGTATTAGGATCCGCATCTGATTCAAGTAATAATTTAATATTTTCATACTGTCCCAGTCTAATAGCTGTTATTAATTCATGACAAATTGATGTTTTGTGCCTTAACTGTTCAGCTGTACTGTATTCCTCATCACGCTCCTTCATGGAATATGTTGAATAATCATATGCTATCCGATTATGATCAACATCAGATAGTTGGCTGGTTTGAGGATAAATTACATGATTACTATCAGGATTTACATTAGGGTCAGATGAAAGTGTTGTGCAATCCAACGTATTTGTCATATAACGCGAATCTGACTGGTCAGCTGATTTGCTCTTTTTGATTAGCATACTTGCTTTGCACAAATCAAGATTGACGTCGCTGTCATTTGATTTTCGAACAATTAGACCAGGATATTCTTCTGAGGACAAAAGTAACAAGTTCCTGTCATAACTATCATTGTCCTTATTACGTGAAATATAGGATGAATCACATTTTATGTTATTAACAAGTGCCTTCTCGATAAGGAACTGACCATCTGTTATGTTACACAGATAAGCCGAGGTGCAACGCTTCACGTCAATTAACCATTCGGCGAATACCTCATGCAAGAAATGTACAATTAATGAGTCCATAAAGCCACCGGTATTCGTTTTATTAATTATATAATCCGATGATTCATAATTGAGAGATATTATTGGCTTCAGCTGATGAAGTTGCTGATAAAAAGTAGACTTGGCTAGATCAGGTTTCGAGACAAGTAGAATTGAATAAAGCGACTGTACAGACAATGGCTCACAAGATGCCAACATAATATTTAATAATGGTTTTACTGACACAAATGTTGATTCACTATCGAATTCACTCGTTAGGGGAAATAAATGTTGACACAACCATAGAAATAAACCATTCAGTGTGCCTGGAATAAAAGCTACGTCCTGTAAATTTATCCTTCCATCTCTTATCAAGTCTAGAACAGTTTCTAAATAAAGCATACATGCACTACTTTTAATTCGAAGCAGATGCATCATTTCTAATCGGACTTCGTTTGAACATTGAATAGACTCTTCATTAAATCTACATGTCATATACTCCTGAATATCCTGGGCAATCATTGGTTTACGTAAATCGTCTATGGCTATTGTTTTGATTCCAGGAAACATGTGTTTTATGATTGATCGATATTTGCGTCTGCAAGTAACTATCAGCAGCAGCCAATCCGGCAGAAGGTGAGAATGGTTTGCCAGCATTTCTAATATACTTCCATTAGGTACTCGATTATTCTCACTCTCACTGTTATTATTGACAAATAATGCTTTATCATCCATTGACCTAAATTTGGCCAGAATATTGTATATTTCATCTACTCCATCGATGAGAATAAAAAAACGCAAATTGTAGGTATTTGGCATACCCGATAATGGGTTGCTTTCCAAATGCCTGGAAAAATGTGAAATATTTATCCTTCTCAAAGGTTCTATTATGTCATAGTAAAAGGCATCACTTGATGAATAAACATCGCTAGATTGGTTATAGTCACTATCGCCTTTACCAAACGCTTCCTTAAAGCAGTTACTAAAAGGATTTTCGTCCGACACCAGTTGATCGTGTAAAGATCTTACAAAATGTTCAGGTTGTAGTGATTTTTTACTTCGTGCATCACAAAAGTGATAAGCCAGCAAACGTGTAGCCACATATTCACATATAGTAGAAGTCTGAATACAGTTTCTTTTAATTTTTAATTTTTTAGAGATATTTCTTTTAGTCTGAACAAGTTTTCTACAAATGCTGGTTTTTCCAGATCCCGACTCACCACAAATAACTAATCTGCCGACCAGTTCTTTATGAGTTTCTTTATTTGTGCAAACTTCTTTACAGTTTTGTCGAGTGTTAGATTCACAGTCGTCTACCAGATGCTTTAATAACTTCTCCCATAGCCACTCACGGCAATAAAATTGTCTGTCTGCATCATACGTTATAGAACTTGATGTATCATGAATGGAATTTGGCTGAAAAGGAACTTCATCTACTGTGGATACATTCCGATCATTTCCACTGCCCACATGATAATAGGTTGTTGGATAAGAACTCGAATTAGTACTTAATTCACATCCATTATTAGCTTCGGTCTTATCATTAAATAAATCCATTTTCCGTGCATTTGTTTGTTTACAGTTGCTCATGCTATTGTTCTCTTGATTAGAATTAGCATCATAATCATCTGTTGTTAGACAGGTATTCGACAATCTTGTCTGTTGTGCACACGAAAGATTGGTCAAACTTCTAGAACTAAACTTGTTTGTTTTATCCAAAGACTGAAGGATGGATGATAATGAAAGTGATCTTGCTATATAGACGCTGTTGTTACTGTTATACATTTCATTCATACACATTTTCTCTACTTGTCTAACTGTATGTAATATGTACTATCATCTATTCATTGTTTAAATCAGATTTATCTCAGAGATATCTTGCAAGGTGCTTGGTATATACACTGAGTGATTTCCAGACGAAATTCTCAAGCCGATAAATCTTCTCATGTGTGAAATATTATCATAAGATATAACTAATTCTCATTGCTAAGAGTAAAGGATCTGGAAACAGATCTAAAAAACAGAAATTGCAATAATTAATGAAAATGCACAGGAGTTTCTAGCTATTTCATGAGTAAAAGTCAAGGTGCTTAAGTAAAAATTAAATTTGTGATCAAACATTACACAATCACAAAGCTGAACAACCTTAAGCATATCTCCCAGAGTTAGGCGAATTCCAGTGGATATTTTGACAGTAAAACTAAGATCATTAAGATGGTTATTGAGAACAAAAAACTATTTCAACCTAACCAGAAGCTCTTTAGCAACATGTACATTCTCAGCAAGGGTCAAACTTAGGGCCTTTCAATTACGAATCAAGCACTTTCACGAAACAGCCAATAAGGTAGAAGCTAAAGACTTATAAATAAGACATTTCGTCAATTCAATGTATAAATACACTTTCAGCTAATCTCTAAGACGTAAAATAGCAAAAGGTGAACTATCGATAACTACAGACAGTTTGCGACATTGTACGACAGGGAACCGGATTGTTCATCAATGAACAGAAGTTTATCCAGTCATCCTAGCAGTTACTTAACGTCTTCACTTGTATGATGTCTGGGTACAGACTCAACAGGAGCCGTATGAAACTCTGTAGGTGGAAGCATCAATCATTATCGTAATGAGGAACCTAACAAGCTATAAAGTCAAATATAACATAAAATACTTTATGTCATCGAAGTAACACCTAATCATCTTATATTATTAGGATTAGAACTTCATATTCATACATGATTTCAACTAGTAACTAGATTTTAATAATAGAACTACTTAGTTTTAGTCAAGAAAACTGCCAATCGTAAACACTAGCTTCAAAATTTATTGAAATTGATATGGTGAGAGGTTTTAGAGCCCAGAGTGATGATTTTGTACGTTTTTAAGTCGAATGTCTAAGATGACACATTCTGTTTATCTCTTGTTTCGGCCGACATCTACGTTTAAGAACACACCTTTTCGCTACTTTATATATACTCTCCTGGTTTTTGCTGAGTCTTAGTACTTCCTGCAACCGCATGTGTACCTGTACTTATTCTTCGGTACTTCAGCATTTGCAGGAACCGTTACATACTCATCCAAAACGTAATTAATCACCACTCTGGCAACGTCTGCAGTTGGGTAAACTATCATCGAAGCCTACCCATTTGCCGTACCGCTGGATAATATAATTTAAATTATTGAAGTTGAACTTAGACCTAACCGTAAGTAACCATAACTTCATATGACGTATTTACCTTGACAATCGCTGTATACTGTCTGTATGTCATAAATAATTTGCCCTTCTTATTTTAATACTTTATATGACAGCTGAGTTTAGTGTCTCGTCCACCAAAAGGTGGCATGCTGACTTAAGAGACTAGGTTGCTGAAGCAATTATGGGTGAAGATAAACGTCAAGCTATAAATATATGCATATATATAATTCTGATAAAAATTTTATTCATCAACTTAAGTTTGGCAATAAAGTCAAATTGACTTGATAAACTTTCGAAGGACTTCAGACAACAAGGACTTCATAAACAATTTATAAGTAGACTGAAATGTAGAGGTTTTCACTGATCATCAAAGTTTCTGACGAGTCTCAAGACTATTCCCATTCGTGTTAGTCGGTAACGACTTTAATTAGACTTTTCTTGCCTACAATTTCCGGTAGACGTTTTCCAAAATAAATTTAAGAAAATAGGAATATCTCATGTAGATCAACAGGTCCACAACATCTCTCCCACAATGTTTTGCTAGGATTTTTTCTTTATGTGTTCAAATATGTTTGACGTAAATTGATCTGAAAAACCACCATAAACAATAATAAATACAACTAAAATCCCGTGAATAATGATCCATTTTCTCATCGAATAATTTAGTAATAACAGCGGTTTAGCTTTTCAAAGTTTCTCCCTTTCCTTGATTCCTTGATAACCAAAATGTCTATTGCAATTACGGAAGCAAACCTGTGGTGATGAATATGGTTTCATGTATGTAGGAATAAACCTTAATACAGATAATGTGTATTTTTAATACTGGTTGCAACAATACTCCTTTGACTATATCAGATATTTCTAGTTTCTAATTGTGTCGGGAGTATGTCAGAGACTTTCTAAAATTATGTGAGACAACTATTGTTTTCACTTCGCACAAACCATATGAAATTGCCATATTTACATGCATCTGACTCATCATGTATGCTCAAAACAATATAAGTATATCCAAGCTTATGCAATCATTGTAATCTGTAGATTTTGATGGAGATATCTGAAGTTGTATATCATCCGAAACAAACCTGTCAATTACTCATAAGACTTTTAAAATGCGCACATCACCTTGAACGTCAAAGGCATACAACTTAGTTTTGTAAAACTATCACGTGCTATGAAACTTTCTTCCCTGTACAGCATCTGCAGAGACAAAAAACACTTTCTTTTATAAAAGATAACTTACGGTGTGACAGTACTCATTGTGTTCAACAGAAGTTTTGTTGAAATTCTAACATGTTGGTCACTCATCTTGCGCAAAATACTACCTAGACCAAGTATCGAAAGCAACCATTTATTAATTTTTCACCCAACTCTAGTGTCACCAATTAGTAGCATCGCACAAACTGTGGGCTCACCGTGTTTGCCACTATTTATAATGTGAAGTCATTATGACTAAAAATCCGAAAAGGATTTTGTGGTTGTCGCAGAGTTTTCTGTAATTATTGTTGTTGATACTTTGTCTGAGAACTGTTAACATCAACTACAGTTTTTGGAATCAGATCTCTTCACAAGGGAGACTGCCTAAATGATCCACTATTCTACTTTAAATACCACTGCGGCTAAAAATATTACTATTCTAACAGACCGTGGAAAGCAGCTAAAGTATAAATGACACTATTTCAACTACACTGGAGATTCGAGAACAGGATGAAAATTATTGAGCTGCATGGTTACCGCCCGAGACTAAAAATGGCCTCACTTTGTAAAAGCACCTCAAAAATATTGAAAAAGTACACTCAATCATATATCAAATAGTCTTTTTCCCACTGTGGATTATAAGGGGAAAAGGCTTCCAGTTGCATAACCCCCTCTTTCCTATAACTGACGTCCAATTTAAAATAAGTAGGCGAATGGAAAAACTTCTATTGAATGAAATATGAGTAGGATGAATGATATAATTAAAATTGCCTTATTTTTCCTGTACTTCCCTCATTTCTTTTCCGGGAGATTTTGAATTGTGCCATATGCCTCGAACTCTTTATTTTACTTCAGTTTGCTTCCTACACCACTTATTAGAAAGACTTATCATCAACGCAATGATTTATTCTGTCTCTATATGATCCTAACTCCTCCGATTCCTAAAACGTTTCCATACTCAAAATTTTTTTCACCTTTTTAAAGGCAAAGCACAACTGGCTGAGTGCATATTATAACTTCTTAAAATTAAATCTATGGACAATAATTATAAAATTCCGGGTTCCGAGAAGTGTTTTCATGAAATAACACTTTTTCAGTCCTTCAAAAGAGTTCAGAAAGATAGTTAGCAAGGCATAGTAGTCACTTGTTCACCCTTATTCTTTCCTGGTTTGCTTAAAAAGGACTTTGTCACAATTCGTAGAATGCTAAAGACTGTCAGTAGGATGAGTGGTGTCCCAGTGGACTACATAGTTAACGTCGTTGTCCATAGGCATTTGACTTCGTGCAGTAAATTTGCTAAAGGGATTTTGTCTGACTTGGAGCATCCACTTCACCCTCAGCTTTCACCTGGCATCTCCTCAGGTAGAACAAGAAGTAACTTCAGAAAACTGTATGCTCGCACGTCTTAGTATGAAAATTCTATGATACCATACTTGGCACGTATTTTATGTGATGAAAATAGCGTCAGGCAAGAATTGACTAACCTTTTTTCATCTAGCAAATAAACAATCTCCTCCATCCATCTTTATATACCTTCAAGTTTTACTTTTATTATTTCTATTATATTTATGGTCCTGTTGATTCTTTGTTTTCACTTTCATAATTGCAAACACCAACTTATCTCTATGACTGCTCTAATCTTTGTTTTTTCCCTCACCATATCATGTAAAGAGAACATCATATTCAATATTTTTAATCATGCAAGGATTTGTATACCGCATCGACAGTACTGTGTGAAACAAGCCCACGGCAATTTCCACTTGTATTATTATCATTACCTTAGCTGCTATCATTATTATTATTACTACCATTTTATATGCTGCATATTTTTTTTATTCTTTTTATAATAACCCTATTGTAAATGTAGAAAAATTTTCTGTGTGATTAATTTTATTTATAATTTGAGGAAATTAGATGCAATATTGTGATTAATGCTGAAAATTCCATTCTGTATCACAAGTACTGTTTTTGGAATAAAGTAAATCATTATTATTATTAAATGCTCCTGTTCCTTCAGTTGCTGTAAATAACTTAGAGGTAAAGACTGCCTATTAATTACGATTAGAATAAGAGGTGGATACTGACTGCTACGACTACTTACATTTGAAAGCCTGTGCTCAGTTTCATAGCTAAGAATGCGCGTATAAAGCAATCTATTTTCTATAATGTAAATGATTTGAAGGGATAAAACCTCTAAAATCTTCCTAAAACGATAGACCAGTAACTACACTGTGTGCATGTTGATCTTCGACTAAAATATATTTTAGCCTTTTCAGGGCAGGAAAGGAACCACGATTTTCCTGTTGAAAGTGTAATGTGTTTCTGAAATAGACGTTGTGAGAACAGGATGCCTGCCTAATTATTGAAGAATCGTACAGGGAGAAAAATACCACGGCATGTATAACTGTTGACCTAACCAGTCTCCCACTCTGTGGGGACTAGTACTTTGCGTCT